CCTGCCTATGCAGGGGGTCGGACTCGATGATCTATTGAGGTCCCTTCCGACCCCAACATCTATGAATCTATATGCAGGGAAGCAGAAGCAGATTTGCTGCTTATGGCAGCAAACTGCTCCCACTTCCTGGAGCCCTGAAATGGGTCTTTGCTGCCCCCAGGGGGAGCTCTAGGCTCCCCTCTGGGTGCTAGGCCAGGGCTGGCAGGGGTGCTAGGTCAGGGCTGGGACATTACTCCCTGCCCCTGAGGGTAGGGTCAGCTGCCTGCTGAGGTGGGGATAATGTCCTCCTGCCCTGGTGTCAGGGAGCTTCTGGCCCTGGCTCCATGATTGGGGCAGGGGACTTCAGGATAAGGATCTCCCAGGTGCCTGCTCCCTGATCACGATGGTGAAGTGGGCGCTCGGAAATAAGGATTTACTGCCAGGGGGCCTAGCCACACCTCCATCAACTTCCCTCTAGCCTTGCAGCTGCTGCTGAAGCCAAGGGAGGGCTGCTCTAACACCCCCGGCTTCTAGCCTGAGCCACTGCACGTGTGTGCCTGCATTTCCTGAATCTCTATTCACCTGCAAATTGGTTCAATCTTTGCAGGTTAGACTAACCTGCAAAGATTGAATCAATTCAGGCTCTGGCTTTTTGAATGTTTACCGCTAGCCATGGTAATTGTAGCTGTCTTTTATCATGGGTCAGCTTAGTTACAGGCCTGCATAGTCTGGAGTTGCGTTGGGGCCAGCTTCTGTGAATCAAGAAGTTCAGAGAATCAAGCTCCATAATACTCAAAGTGCCATATAAGCAGCGTTTGTAGAAATGTGCTTCAATAGGCCCACACGGGGGTTACAGAAAACATTGTTTCAAGTGAAGTTTTCCTAAAATACAGTTGTATAAATTGTAGTCTCCTCCACATCATACTTTATTTAACAATGGTTTTGAGAACAATAGGATCTTATGTGGCTTTGAAGATGGGAATCACTTCATAGAAAGTTATTATTAGAATCCTGCTTCATCAGAGCAATGTGCACTCACTAGCATTTAAAGAACTGGAGCTGTTTCCATTCTAATCCTTTTTATGGGGTTCATCACTCATCTATTTTAAATTGTTTTGTGGCTGAATTTTGCTATGTACATTTTTTGCTGAAGGGCAGACTTATTTTTCTTTTTCAAGGGGCTTATATCGGTTTGCCTTTTACATTCATAAGAAAGGATATGATTCTCTCCAGTATACATTCTCCTGGCTTCAATGGAATTACTCCAGGATTAAATTTGGCAGAAAGAACCAAGCCAAATAATATTTGAACAGGTTTCCAAGCTCACCAATAGCTTTAATGATGTTTGAATTTATATTAAAAAAAAATGTATACCTTGCATTTGGATTAAAGTGTTAAATATTTTGTTCACTTTGACTAACTGGCAGGCAACTACAATTCTACTCTTTTGGGGGGGGGGGGGGGGGGGGGGATTGGTTTCTGGAAGCAGCCTAGCAAGTTCATGGTCAAAGTACTTACTATAAAAGTTGATCAAACACTGGCTACATAGTTCATAGAAAAGGCAGTATGGTGCTGTTGCACTTCTTTGACATGCTGGAAGTGGTGATTGTGACCCAGGGAGCCATGATGGTCTAGGGGGGACTAGTCCGTGACAACTCTATCCCTGTCACAATGCATGCTGGCTTGTTAGGGAGCATCGGTATTCTAAGGGACATAGGGCAAGGTGGCATCAAAGCTACATCACTCCCTGCACATCTACTTACAGAGGTGGGGGTAGCAGCATTGCATAGCGTGCATCCTTCCTGCACACATCAGAGTCAGTATAGAACTTCAGCAGAGGAGTGAGGATGTCTCACACACCATCTACTTCCTGGTGCTGGAACGCACTACACAGCCTGGCCCATAGGCTATAGCAGATAATCACTGCAAATTCCCAAGCCCATTGAGAAAGAAGAAAAGTTGAGCTAATTTCTCCTTGTATTCAAAATTCCTTGAGACAAGTTCAACATATTACACATTTGCAATGTGCCTTTGAAACTCCTTTTGGAAAAGAAAGAGGTGTGTACAGATATAAAAGAACAGGCTCACCTCCGAAATGCATGGCTCTTAATTCATACAACTTCATAGCTATCCATAGAGTTTCTCTGCATCAAACACATTTTACACTGGACTTTATAGTTGAATATATGCTGGAATGCAAAGCTAAGCACAGAAATAATTCCCTTCCTATTTAGCAGAGTATATACTTAAGTACTATTTGCACCATATTTTTCTTTTATTATGAATAATACATGCAAGTCTGATGATGGACATAATGGAAAGAGTTTGATACATTTCAACTCTATTTGGTTCAAAGCACAGCCACAAGCAGGTTGTAATTTTTGTTAATTTATTATTTACTCTAAATATTTCACTTTTATGAAGTTGGGTTATTCTAGCCTGTAGTTTGAAAACTGAAATCTACCAACTAAGCTGTGTTGTTTAGTTCTAAGTGGCTTTTCAGTTCTTTAACATTTTGTGAGGTCGGGTGTTCAACAGAGCTTAGCTCTGAGCATGGGCCACTTCCAACCCAGCCCGTGCCACCATGGTCACTGTTTCCTACCTCCTGTCTACCGTGTGCTGCAGAAGCCCCTACAAAAGCCTCCTACCTCCTCAGGCCAGATAAAATAGATGTACTGGTTGCCCTCCACACCCTGCCAACACCTGCTCTAAATGGATGAGCACAACCTCATGGTCAAATTTCTGGTGGGTTTTCTGTGAATGCTTGTCACACCTGGATTCAATGGTGTAGATGTCTTGCAAAAGGGTTTTGACAACTGTAAGCAATATGCAGTTAGGTCTAGATTTACTGAACAAGATATTTTAGACCTATATCACTGGGTGAAAAAATTCATGTCTCTAGTAATCAGGGCTCATGGTAGAAGTGGTAGCTTTTATTAGACCAACAAGACTTTTGCAAAAACATTCTTTAATTGCAAGCTTTTGGGAACGAAGAACTGTTGGCCCAGTGGAACTTTCCATCTATTTACTCCTCTGTGAAATCCTATGAAATATGCACTTCATTTCTACCCTGGAGAACTTTTACAATCTTTTCTCCAATGCCTGATGTTTGTGCCCGAAAGCTTGCAACTAAAAAAAAAAATTTTTTTTTGCAAAAATCTTATTGGTCTAATAAAAGATATCACTTCTATCATGAGTCCTGATTGCTTTTTCCTCTAGACCAATTTGCCTACAACCTGGATACCTGGTTCTAGTAACGGCATATTTTTTCTGGGTGGCTTATCAGATATTCTTAGAATATTTTTAATCTTTGATTTAGAGATAAGAACAAATGAAATTACCTTCCTTAAACTGAAACAGAAAACTAAATCCCCCTCCCTTCCCCCATGGAATAAAATAATCCTAGACTACATGGAAAATTCAGTTCCTCTATTAAGACATAGCTATTGGACTTGCACAAACATTAACTTTATTTGGTTTCCTCAGATCAGTAGCCTTTGAGTTAGAAACACTTGAGACTGCTGCTTGTGCCTCAAAGCATGTTGGTTAAAATTATCTCATGTAATTCCCTTGCCAGAACAGGATTTTTGTGCTCAGCTTCTCAGCTTGTACTTGGTGGTGTTCTATTTCCTACCATTTTTTAACTAATGATACTTATTTCTTATGTTTTCTTTTCACTTAGTCAATCTTGTGGCTAGCCAGAAATCCAAGGGAATATTATTGCATGATAAAGATCTCCACGCACAATATTAGATCTAAGAAATGAAAACTAAGGGGAAAAGCTAAGGACAAAGGTCACTTACTTTTCTTGGGCCTGATCTTGTTTCCTTTGAAGTTATTTGGAATTTTGTTCCTGTGTCACAGTGGGAGAAAAATCAGACTTCTTGGGTGTAGCTACATATGCAATTAATTCAAAACAAACTCTGGAGCAGTTTGAGCTGGAGAAAACTACTCTCAGGTGCAGCATCTACACATGTGCCCAGAACAGCAGCAATTTGAGCCAAGGCAGAGCAGTTTATGCCAGGGCCAGGGGGATGGGCGGGGGTGGGGGGTGTTCAGCCCTGGGTTCTAGGTGGCAGTATTGGGTGGTAGAGGGGCTGACTACAATATGAGGGTGCTGAAACTGCAGAGCTGTGTGGCTAGGTGGCAGGCAGGAGGCTGTCCCCCTGCTGGCCAGGTTGATTGGGCACAATTTATGCCCATAGTCAGCATCTACATGTGCATTTAATCACAGTTAATTACCCCACTGTCCAATAGTACCGTCCCCAACAATACTATCTTACCACAGTGTTAGTTATTTTACTGTAGCCTAATAGTATTGTACGTGTAGATGGTGATGCTTTACCCTGCATGTGTAGACGTGGTCCTTGTGTTGAAATGAATTAGATGGATGTCAGTCTTCATTTGATGCTCAAAGTCTGAAAATACAAGCAATGATTACAAGTAATGAAACATTTATATAAAAGGTGCATATAAGAATGTACATTTCATGTGCTCCATTATTTAGGGTTACCATATTTCCAGGTCCAAAAAAAGAGGACACATGTCACACAGGGGGAGGGGAGGGATATGATGGTGAGGTGGCAGTGACATGCTGGTGCCCTGCCCCTGCCCATTCTGTTGCCCTTCACTTCCAAGCCACAGCCTCCTGGCCCTGCAGCTGCCCCCCACTCCTCACCCACTGACTCCAGCCCTGCCAGTGCCCCTCACTCCCAATCCACAGTACCCTTCCCCCTGGGCCATGATGGTGCCCCTCACTCCTGACCCACAGTCCCCTGGCACTGTCAGTGCCTTGCACTCCCAACTAGGGTTACCAGATGTCTGGGTTTTCCCCAGACTTGTCCCATTTTTGAGCTGTCTGATCTCCGTCTGGGTGGGTTTTTTAAATCTCTCCAAATGCCCAGGATTTTGGTTTGCTGTGCTGGTGGGAGCATGGGAGGGCAATTAGAGACTACAGGGAGCACAGACATACCTGCCTTCAGCTGCAGAGGCACGTGCGGACCCATGTGGTGCTCCGTGCTGCAGAAGTGGATTAAGATTTACTGGGGCCCTGGGCAAACAGAAAATTGGAGGTCCCCCCACATCCCATTATAAACATGAATGTATCAAAAAGCATTAATAAATAGACTCATTAAATGCTTACATGGTGCATTAATAAATAAAGCGCAACATGTGATGTCAAAATTAACTACTCAGTTTTGCCACATACAAAACTGAATAAAACAACTGCCTTAGGAGACTTACTCAGATGTGTGGAATCACCATAAATGTATAATAACACAAAAGCATCTTGGTGCTTCAGAATGGTGGCAGGGGTGCTTGAGCTAAAATTTGTTGAATGAGCTTTAGTTCAAGTGCTGACATCACCATTTTTAGGTGTGGTGACAGAGTCACATGTCATGAGAGACCATGGCACTTTAGTTAGAGCAGCTCTCAGATCTGCTGTAATTAACGCACCAGCCCCCACCGCCAGAGCACATGTAGAAGTGCCAAGGGGCAGCTGCCTGAGCCTGTCCAGCAGAGCTGAGGCCAAGGGGAAAGGTGTGAGCCTCCCCGGCTGCCCAGGGCTGGGTGGTCTCTGGGCCAGGCTCTCAGCCGCCTGCAGCTCTGTGGCATGACCTGCGACCCGACCCATCTGCATCTCTGTGTGCGTCTGTATGTCTCTGTGTCTGTCTCTCACTCTCAAGCCACAGCTCCCTCCCCCAGCCCTAATGTTGCCCTGCACTCCTGACCACAGTACTCAGCCTGAGGAGGGGGGTTCCCAACGCACCTTGGCAGGAGGCACTTAACACCCCCCCCAGCCTCCCATACCTTCACAAATAACCTCCCGCCAACACACAGTTAAAAATAGCCTCTCATGATTTACATACCAAATCTCTTGATTTTTAACAGTTTGCCTGACAGAGGATGTGGGTGTCCAAAACCATGCAAATAACTTTTTGCAACTATTTAGATATCACATCTACTCAAAGACTCCAGCTACAGGCCAACATTCCCCTCCCTCCACCTTCCTGGATCATCCAGGAAGAGCACATGGGGCTCTCTGCACTGTCTGTTGCCTTTGCCATGGGGGCCCTAAACCCTGCCCAGCAGGACAGGGAGGGGACCCAGGGCCCAGGCAAAGGCAGCAGGCACAGACCTGAGCAAACAGCTGCAGCCTGCCTCTGCCCCATGCCTCCCCTGGCCCAGGGTGCAGGCAGCAACATGGAGCCGACTCTCCTCCCCACCCCTACTCCAGTCCCCTGGACAAGCCGCCTGCCAGTGCCTCCGCCCTGCTCCCTGCCCCGGGCATGCACTGCCCTGGCTGAAGTTGGGCATCACCACTGCCCCAGCCCCTGCTGTCCTGGCCCCAGCCCCCTCCCTCGCTGTGGGGGCTTCAATTTGCCCCCTACCCCTAAGCCCCCTTTCCCCTTCCACAAGCTTACCTCCATGCACCATGTGGGCTCTGCTGGGCTGCTCTGCTCTGCTCCCTCCTCTGCCTGCCGGGCAGGCTCCTGCAATGACTGCAGGCTGTGGCCAGCCTGCATATGCACATATGCATGCCACCCACACTGCCCATCTCTCCCTCCCGGGGCCACCATTTCCTGAAAGGCTCCTGGGCTACTGTCCACCTGGCCCAGGCATTAATCTGCCTATGCCCCGTTTCCTCTGATTGCCCTCCCCCTTGCTCCCACCCTCAGAGCACAGCAAAATCCAAGACATTTGGTCAGGGTGGGCAGGAGCTAAGGCTGGGACAGGGCAGTGGGGGAGGGGAGGGTTTCTTGCCCCTCCAGTGGGGGAAAGGGGTTGGGGGTTGCAGGGAACTCTGTGGCTGGCCAGCAGCACAGGCACCGGTGCCTGTGCTCACAGG